GTGCATACAGTAGGTCTGAAAAAAGGAAGTAAAATGTGTTACTAAACTCCTTTGAAAATAAGGGCTTTACTTACATTTTAGAAACATTTTTTTGTAGCCCTACTACAAAATAGCTGGGAGTCTGGTACTTTGCCATTGTTGTTCCCAAATAAAGCTAACATAGGAAAGATTATATAATTTTTTTTATAAGTTACCCTGAATAATACAGACATTAGCTTTCAAGATTTTATTTTTATATCAGAAAATAAAATTCAAGATACATCTTTTTTTCTCTTTGGCAAATGATTTGACATCAAAAGAATACATCTTTGTTTTGTGTTTATAAATATAAATATTTTTTGTAATTATGGAACTACTTTCTTTATCCTGTGAATAGGGTGGAGGAAGAAGTTGACTACTGATATGCCAATTAAAATTCAAAGATAACAGTTTAGTACTCTGTATGACTAATCAGAATCTTGATTAGTTTTAGTTATTAAAGTTTCTGCTGTCTTTTAAGTGATGATAAGGAAATTAAAGATTTTTGGAGCTTAAGTTATGTAATGCTGTGTAGCAGGCAGGTAGCTAAAGATGATTTGTTTTGTGGTCAGGTGTAAAAAAGACATTCCAGTGCGAGCTGTGCAGTTATACCTGTCCACGTCGTTCCAACTTGGACCGGCACATGAAAAGCCACACTGATGAAAGGCCACATAAGTGCCATCTCTGTGGCAGAGCTTTCCGGACAGTCACGTTGCTGAGGAACCACCTCAACACTCACACAGGTATTGTATGTGCTGAGAACATTGTTTTTGGAGATTTTTAGAGTTACAGTCCTGCTTTCTGTATGGAAATAAGAATGCTGTAGGCTCCTGTGGGATCGCCCTGTAGGGAAGGAGTTACATGATGCTGTTTGTTTGTGATATGAACTAAATCAGATTTGCTTATTTGCTATATTGGGCCAGTACACAACGATAGGACCTTAGTCAGTTTTATAGCTAACTTATATTGAAGCTAATGGAAAGTTAGTTCCCCTTTAACTTCTATGGGAGATGGTTCAAGTTTATGGCTTGGGATGAATTATCATCTGGTGATGCTGCTGCTCCTTGCAGGCAGGAAGGACAAGTGACCAAAGCAGAACAAAAGGACCAGGGGCCAGAGATACCCAAGGAGAAGTGCAGGGTGGGGAAGAGTAATAAAATGTTTTTAAAAGATATTTGATACTTCCTTTTAGTATAACAACTTTACCTGTAGGAGGGCAATAGGTAGTTAATTGAACCAGCAACCAGAATAAAGCATGCCTCTTGTTCCTGTCCCATCCCTGGCAATGTGATTAAGTAGATGAAACTTTTCCCTCATTTCTTTACATACAGTCTTTGTAAATGACTGTCCAACTACTGTAGAAGATGTAATAAATTCTCATACAGCCCATTTTTGCCATAGTCTCTCTTAATTTTTTTTTCCAAAATATGAAGCCCCAATTCTCAGTTTATAATGAGCAAAGCTAGCATGTACTTTTTCCCCCTCACTAACCTTCAGTATCTTCCTGTCTTGCAACAAATGTTTAGGTACTCGTCCTCACAAGTGCCCAGACTGCGACATGGCCTTTGTGACTAGTGGAGAGTTGGTTCGGCATCGCCGTTACAAACACACTCATGAGAAACCATTCAAATGTTCAATGTGTGACTATGCTAGTGTGGAGGTATGTTTGGGTTTAACAACATAAGCAATCTTTCATATTGCATGTAGAAAAAACTCTGTTATTACCATTACCACTATAAGCTTGTTATTTTTAGGAGGTCATGCCTTGTCCATAAACCTGGTCCTGGGTAGAAACTTTGTTTAAAAAACACTCTGTCCTTAAAATCACGATGGTATTTTTCAGTTAACGAGGACCTGGTTCTAGACTTTGCACACACAGGCTAGAACTTTCCAACTGTTTAGATTTAGATTAGACATTAGGAAAAATTTCTTTACGGTGAGGGTTGCCAAAATCTGGAAAGGGCTTCCAAGGGAGGTGGTGCTCTCCCCTACCTTGGAGGTCTTTAAGAGGAGACTAGATAAGCACCTAGCTAGGGTCACCTGACCCCAGCCCTCTTTCCTACCCAGGGCAGTGGGTCAGACCCAGTGACTTACTGAGGTCCCTTCCAACCCTAAAAATCTAGGAATATCTGTGAAATCTATGTTCTTCTGGGGACCTAGTATTGGCTTTTATTTTAAAATAGCTAACTTTTCAAGATTAATTTGCTCACTTCCATTGGGAGGGGAGGAGTTAAATGCACTTCACTTAAATCTCAGAGTATCTCCACCCCCAGGGTTTTGTCAGCCTGTTCCTTACGAAAGAACTTCTGCTGCCAACCTGAGTGATGATTATTATTAGGGCTGTCAATTAATCGCTGTTAACGTGAAATTAATACAAAAACCAATTACTGTGCTAATTTTTCTAACACCTTAATTGTGCATGTAGTTTTGGAGCCTGTGGCCAGGCTCCTCTCCGCTGCCGTCATTAGCACCTCCGGCAGGGCAGTGATGGCAGTGCAGAGGAGCCAAAGGGCAGCCCAGGCTTCTTGGATTCCAGGCTGCTGCAACAGGAAGGGTTTGGGGGAAGGGCACATGCACACGCGCACACACCAGCAGGTAAGTCGGGTGGGGTATCAAATCGATGCCCCCCATGGTGAGGGAGGGAGTAGGGCAGGGGCTTGGTTGAATGGGACCCCGGGGTTGGGGTGGGTTGGAGCTGCAGGTAGGAGGGCCTGGGGGGCATATCCCCCCAGATTTGTGTGCATGGCGGAGATTGGCTGCCCACTACAGGCTGGAGCTCTGTGCCTTGCTGCCTTTGCCCCAGGAGGCATGCAATGCTGGGTGGGTAGGGGACACGGCACAGGTAGCGTGTGGCTCCCAGGGCAAAAGCAGCAGGGTACATGGTTGCAGTGGGCAGCCCATCTTTGCCCTGCACAAAAATCTGGGAGACATGCCCACCAGGCTTCCCTCCCAGGGATGTGTGCAGTGGTGTTTCATACATAACATCAGTTTGGATGCTTTCAGGCATCCTACCTAATAGTGAATACTCACCACCTTGCCTTGAGGTGGCCACGGGCACATTTAGTCAGCAGTTGCTAAGGTGATTGAACTTTTTTTTTTTTCCTGGAGGTATAGATGCTCTGCGTGAGGCTTTATCAGCCATAGAAAGGAAGGGGAGGAGGGGGCTGTTGGGGATAGGGGTTAGCCATTCCATTTATTTTGATGCTGGAAATACAAGTGGCAGCTGCTCCCCACCTTATCGGGGAGGCATGCTGAAATTATGGAAGATTGCAGCATTGGATCATCCATGCATGACACCCTTGCTGCTTATCTTGCATCTGCAGCACTTACTCTCTCCCAGCAGTCGGTACTTTTCTCCTATATCCAGAACCGGTAGTAGACAGTTTGCAGGTGCCCCAAAACAAGCTGTTCTGGATTTCTTCATCATCTACCAACTCAGTAACCTGCTGACAGCTTGCCACAAAGTTCCACTGTTTGCCTTCTTAAAACTTCAGTCACTTAACTTGCCTGTCAGCGCTCTGGAAGGCCACCTCACAGCAGGCCAATCATGTAGGCAAGAACCATCCTGTAATTGCAGGTTCAGCATCACAATGCCATGAATATTACTAGAATTCAGAGGTGTTTGGCCTCTATCTTCAGGAGCTTGGGGTGATAGACCTCTATTCTTGTACCTTTGCACTGAGAAATCCTCAGTGCCATCTTCCTGCTTGGTTTGTGACTAGCAAAAGTGAAGACCTGGAACTGGGTCCTTTGGACTCAAACTCCTAGAAGGTATGGCAAATCCTATCATAGGAAGTCTCGAGGCTGAGCCACAAGCAACACTGGGCTCCTGGTCTTCTCCCCCCGGTGACTAGCAGTGAGGTGCCATACTAGTCACTGACTGCATGAGCTCTAAGTTGGTATGATTGGGGTATTAACTGCATATCTGTCCATGACTATCTCAGTAGAATCTTAAATTATCATATAAACCTCTTTATACCAGTTCAAGAGTTTGTCTCTCCAAACTCTTTAACCCAACAGAGTACTTCAGGTTGCATGTGAAGGATTTTGTTCATTTGTGTGAATTGCTGAATTTCTTGGCTTGTATTGTCTTAAAACTTTGACTTGCCAAACTAACACTAGCTCCATTCTTGGCTTTCAGGTCAGCAAGTTGAAACGCCACATTCGCTCTCATACTGGAGAGCGTCCATTCCAGTGTAGCTTGTGCAGCTATGCCAGCAGAGACACTTACAAACTGAAGAGGCACATGAGAACCCACTCTGGTATTGATTCCATACTTTTAATATCCTCTTTGTTTCAGCATAGAGGCTCAGGGATTCTCATGTGTATTAGAGTTCTCAGCGGGTGTTACTCTGCATTAGGCACGATAAGGCTGCTTCATGCTTATATGTGAAAGTTACGCAAACTCTGCCAATGAAGAAAATGCAGGAAGACTGATCAGCAGGGATCCTGGTTTTCCATTTCCCATGGGGAAAAAAGGAGAACACCACGGATTTCCCATTTTTATCAGAGAAAATGTGGATTTTACCTTTTAGTAGAGAAACCCCTCGATTTCCCACGTTTGCAAAGAGCTCTGCAGAGTTCCAGGCTGCAGAAGCTGATTGCAAAATGGGTGGGAAACCCCCGAGGCCTGCCCAGAGGGGGAAAAGCAGGGCCTAAGGCTCTTAGTCAATCCCAAAGCTTGCTTCAGGTTCACTTTCTTTCCTGTAAAGTTAGGTAAGTGGGGGGGGGAGCTGGCTGGGGGCTGAGGTGTTGGTAAAAGACATGGAGTGCCTGCCAGCTGTAGGTGGACCGCAAGTAGCGCTATTGGCCCAACCAGGCTCAGCGCCTCCGTGTGCGGCTTCCCTTAAGGGCCGGTACTGTGCTGCTCCAGTTCCATGTGCTGCCAACCAGGCAAGCACTCCATGCGGGGCTTCCCCAACACCTTCCCCTCCCTCAGCCCAGGTGGGCAGGCAGGCAGGGATGGAGCATGTCCAGGGGTGCGGCTGCAGCGTCTCCCTCAGCACCTTCCCATACTTTCCTTCTTTCCCAGGGGAGGGAGAGGGCCACATGGCACACTGCGGCACCTCCCTGTCCCCCCACTTCAGCTTACTGTCTGTGCCCACTCCCAGGGGTGGGGGTGAGAACAGTAGTGCCCCTCTGTGGGCCGTACACGTGCTGCCCAGCCAGGGGGAGGGGTGGCTCTCATGTGGTGGCTGCTGCTGCCGTGCTGCTTTCCTGCAGCTGGTCACATGTCTGGCTTCACAGGCAAGTGGCACAGTAGCTGCGGTAGTGGCCGCCGCATGTGAACCCCAGCTCCCTGCAGGAGTTCTCCCCTAACCGGCAACACGTGGCTAGGGGCTGAGGGAAAGCAGCACCGGGCACAGCGGTGGCGGTGCTGGCCGCCATGTGCGAACCACCTTCCCCCACTTCCCCCTGGCCGGACGGCGTGTATGCAACCCACAGAAGGGCACCACTGCCCTTGCCCCCCGGCCCTGTTCCTGGAAGCGGGCACAGAGAGTGGGCTGGGGTGGGGAGGTGTGTGGTGCGCTGCATGAGGCTGACGGCACCTGGTGTACCCCTCCCTCTGCCCCAGGAAAGACGGAAAGTATGGTAAGGTGCTGAGGGAGACTGCTGTGCCCCTGGGCGCGTTCCATCCCCACCCCCCTGCCTGCCTGTGTGCACCCCCCCCTACCCCATGTCATTCCCCCCCCCCCTTCTCGATCTGGCTCCCCCCAGTCCCTTCCCCTTGTCTGTGTGTGTGTCTCCGTGTCTATGCCTGTGTGTGGGGGGCTGTTGTGAGGGAGGCTGGCGGGGGGCCTTTAATTTTAATCATGGCTTTTGGGGGTTTTATCAGAGTATTTGCGGGGATTTTTTTTATCAGGGAAACCCTGCTGATCAGCACACCTAAGTCTACAAACTAGAAGTCATTACTGAATTGAGAGATGCAAAATTGCTTTAAAAAATTAGTCTCCAGTTTTGCCATAAAACTAATTACAAAATACTGGCATATCTTTAAAGTACTATGCTGATATAAATCACTTAATCTCAGTATTCCATTTTCTGGCTTCACACAGAACTTTAAGGTGACATTTGTTCAAAGTCTAATACAGGAATGTTTGTTAATAGTTTGTGAAAATCTTACGGGTAACTTTCCTCTTCATGCTAGAAGTCAGGGTTTCCCAAAAGTGAACAACAGTGCAGTGCAAGTTCTGCTGCTGAAGCGGGAAGGAAAACATTTTTTAGCGAGTTTAAGCGTGCAGGAAAGGCCCTTAGAACTCCAAGCAGAAATCAAGTTGTGTTTCCTACTAGAGGTTCACCGATACATTGGTCCATGTCATATCAGCGCCAGTAAAAGGAAAACTGACATTATCGGCAATAAATGCTGTTTGCATTTTCAGTTGTACATGCACACAGCCAGCCTGGAGCTTGGAGAGAAGCATCTGGCTGGTAAGTCTATTGGGGAAGGGTTGGAGGGAGGGAAAGCTGGCAGGGAGGAGAGGGCGGCAGTTGAGGCCCCTGCAGTGTGGGGCTGGGCGTGGGATGGAGCTGCAAGCGGCTTGGGGGGAGGGGGTGCGGCTCCTGCTGCTGCTGCGCCCACCCCGGGGGAGCCATGGGGGGCATGTACCCCCCCCAGATCTGTGCATGGGGTGAGGGCAGACTGCTGGGGCTGGGGGGCGGCACTGGGCTCTTCCCATTTGGGCTGGGGCTGTGCTCAAGGCGGGTAGCAGTGGTGGAACTGGGAGGAGGGACTTTGGGATGGTAGCCCCCCTTCCAGCGTCTCCATTGCCCACTCCGAGTACAGCTCTGGCCCTCCACCCTGCCCTCCCACCCCACTGGGAAGAGCCTGACGCTGCCCCTGGCCTCAGCCCGCAGCAGCAGCCCGCCCTCACCCCCTGCACAGATCCGGGGGGCACATGCTCCCATGGCTCCCCCGAAGTTGCATGCAGTGGCGAGAGCTGCCCTCCCACACACCCCAGAGACAAGCTGGTTGTGGCTCCATCCCAGCCCCACTCCCTCACTGCAGGGGCCTCGATCTGCGCCTCCTTTTCTTCCCCGCCCCTCTCCCCCCAACACCAGCAAGGCGCTGCTTTCCAATCTGCCATTGGCAAATGGATCAGTATCGGTGGACATGGCTTGTTGATAATGGCCGATATGGCTTTTTGGCCATCAGTATTGGCCCACAAAACCTTATTAGTGCACCCCTGTTTCCTACATCTTGTTATGCAGCACGCAAGTCCCTTACAGATCTCTTCTCCCGAATCCATATTTGAACTGCTTCTCTTCTGAAGGTATGGTTCAGTTGTCAAACACTGCACAGACCTAGTAGATACTAAGATTTCCCAAACTCTTCCTATTGTTCCCTGGTCTCTGAAAATGGTTGCCATTAAATTGCTGTGCCAACAACTTGGTCTTATGACTGCTCTTACCAATCCAGGTATGTTTTGAGACTAGACTTTTATTAATAAAACTAACCACTTGTGCTAATTATTGTTTCTTTTCCCCTACCACAGGAGAGAAGCCATATGAATGTTACATCTGTCATGCTCGCTTTACCCAGAGTGGCACCATGAAGATGCACATTTTGCAAAAGCACACGGAGAATGTGGCAAAATTTCATTGCCCCCACTGTGATACTGTCATAGCAAGAAAGAGTGACTTGGGTAGGTACTTCTTAAATGTGTTGATTAACAATGTAAGGTACTTTTAAACAAATAATGAAGTTGTTTAACTTCGTGGAACAGGAAGCATTTTTAAAAAAAATCATAGGACTTTAGTAGAAACTATATTGCAGTTTATAGTGTCTAGAGTGGTGCAGAATAAGGGGTATGTCAGCCTGAATGAAGTTATCTGTTAATAAAGATTAATTGACTTACAATAGCAGCCAGTTGCTATGGAAGATATTAGTCACTTCTACACTATTCCAGTATAGCAACATGTTTGCCATGCACACAAAACAGGTCATCAGTCTGAACCCCATTAGCCTAAACAAAAATAAAACTTTCAGTTCCATGTGTTTAAGACCGGAAGGCTCCTAGGTCATCTGGCCTGATGTCCTGTATATCACAGATGATTTCATTTCACCCAGGTACCCCTTTACCTTTTTTGTTAGTCTAAGCATTTTGGCATTCAGGAAAGTAGGCTGCATGTTCACAGGCAAAGAACAGGAAAGGTAGAAGTGCTGACATTGCCTGATGCTCTTGTACTGGCTGGGAATTGATTTAGTGAGACAAATGATTCCAACAGGCTTGCCATGCTGTGTGTAGGGTCAGTGATGGAAAATTGCAGAGGTTCCCATCAGTTGAACTTGTGGGGAGAATTTCTTCATGACCTCAAAATCTGATGAGGTATTGTTACTCAGCATGCGAGCAAATTATGCCAGCTAAGCATCCAGAAAGGATTATCCATACCACCTCAGATCACTTGTCCAACCTGCCTAGTTTCCAGTTCAGCAGTGGCTAACCTCTGCTTCAGAGGAAGGCACAAAAGATACTCCACAACAGATTACATCTGTCTAATTGAACATTGGTGAAGAAAATTCATTTGTGACCCTTGCAGAAAACTATCTGAAACCCTGAAGTATAAAGACAACTAATTTATTTTATACTTATTGCTCTGTATTAACATGGTTCGTGCAGTCTTGTTCTTCCCTTGTCTGTGAATGGACAGGCCATGGATAGGGAGACTTACATATTCAGAGGCTAAGATTGTAAGCTCAGAAGGAAGTTTCACAGTATTAAGTATTGCTTTCCCCCAGCACATGCATGTAAACCATCACATTTTCTTCCAGCAGATCGACTAAAGGTTTTTCACTTTTCCAGTTTTGTCTTGAATTTAAGTCACAGATGTGGGGGGAAAAAACCCTCAAAACAGCCCTTTACTTTTAGCTCAGTGCACCCCCATGCCAAGCACAGTGCACGCCGAGAAAATGCATTGCATTAGTTTGACCCAGCTCACCCAACATCTGTATAGATTGAGTACTTCAGCCGGATTTTTT